TCCTAAGGATACTATGTTCTATCCAACTATTATCGATTCATATGCCCCATCTTATTATTTTTCGTTGCACGGTCAGCCAGATGTTTAGACTGGATCTGGCATTTTTATTCCCCTATTGACTCCTTGTCAAGGACCTGAGATAGGTAAATGTTGCTCTTTGATACTGTTAAAGTATCCTTGCAGGCTGTTCCAAGTACAGCTAGCTTTTGCTATTGACCAATGGTAATTTTTGTCAATGCCAATGGTGTTCAAGTGGCGCCCTAATTGTTTTCAGATTGCACCCAAGATGCTTATTACAATTATTATTATTTGATATTATTCTTTTACCATGGCACAAATCAGAAAAACACAATAATTAGAAAATTCATCCAATAAAATTAGATCATAACTTACCAGCCAAACCAATAAACAAATACTAACCTGAAAGCAAGCCAAATGCAACTATCGTATATGTTTACAACAATGCCCTACAATACAATTAAGAAAGTATACATCCATCATTAAATTAAAACAGGTATGAATCTAGGTTATGTCAAGATTAATGAGAAATAAGATGGAATAACCAAGCCCTACACTAATCCTCTAATCAAATAAAAAGGTCTTTAAGCCCCTTTTAAAGGCCATCGAACTTTCAGAAACAAGGGGAAGAAAAAATTGGTTTCAGAGCCATGGAGCCAGGATTCACAGCTCAACACACACACACCCCATCCTAGCCCAATGTTTGAAGAAAGAGCCAGGTCTTCATAACCCTCTGGAAGTCTAAAAGGGTAGGAGACCAGGGGTGAAATGCTATCGGTTTGGACCGGTTCGGTCAAACTGGCAGCGGCGGCAGCGTGAGGCTCCGCCCACCCGCCCGGTCGTCATTACTTCCTGGTTTTAACCAGGAAGTAAACAGGCTTTGCACATGCAGAGGGTCCAAAATGCACATGTGGTGCGCACACGCACATGAGCAGAGTAAGCACGCACGTGCAGAGTGTGCACTTCTAAACTGGTAGGGAAGGTAAGTAGATTTCACCCCATAGGAGTCCCTCTGATCTTTGATGAGAGGCTAATCCAAAGGATTGGGGTGGCCACCAAAAAGGCATGACACCAAGATCCCATCAGATGGCAACATTTAAGGGAGGGGGACCTGGAGTGTATCCACTCTCTCTAATCTAGAAGGATGGGCTGATATCCTCAGGGAGAAGCAGTCCTGCAAATAACTTGCTTGAGAGAAGTGTCATAAACTCAGGAAGATTAAATGCTGAAAGAAGAGAGATTTTGTATGATAGCATGTTCTGGGATAATCACTACATAACACAGCAAAGCACCAATTTTTTTAACACGCTCATTTTGCAGCAAATATGTGGAAGTTGGAAAGATACCTAAGCATAAAGTTGTGCTTCTATTAATCTCTTTAAGAGTTATTTTTCTGTAAATTAATATTTTCTTTTTTCATTCTGATAGTATGATTTGGAAGTGGAATAAGAGAGTGCTGTCATTTGTATACAGAGCAAGAGGGGGGAAATTGATGGAGTCTCTATTTTTACAGTGTTGTTTTCTGCTGTAAAAATGTAAACGTATATTACATTTATTAAAGGTATAGTATTAATACTTTTAATACTATAATAAAATTTATCTTTAAATACATTTTTATTTGAATGAAGGCATTAATTTTTCAAAATGATGTTATTCAGATATATTGTTTGAGGACTTAAGAAGAAATCAGTATTATGTAAAATACTATGAGAAGAGACTCTAAATTGAATAGGAAACTACTACAGTGACATCTAATGGAAAGTTTTATGTTCTGCCCAATCCCTCATACAATTACAGAACATGGCAAAGAACTGAAACTGCCTAGCCTAATCTCCTGTTTTTCAAATATATCCAATTCCTCCTCCCAGAATTCCCAGTCAAAATGCATAGTTAAGCATATAGACAAGGAATTCTGGAGATTATAGCTTAATCCATCTAAAAAGGACTGGCTGGAGAATGTTGAAGAATAAAAACCAGGTAAAGAATAACAGTAGGAAACATTTCTCCATATAGTATATCTTATTTTATGGAATGAGTTTTTTCCATAGGTGATATGGTAGGCAACTTGATATATTTCAAAAGAAAATGAATAAAATTGAAAGGAGATGCAGTTATTACCGTACATCAAAAAGAGCATGCATATAAATACAAGTCAGCATCAAACTTCTTACTATAGTCTTTTTATTAGCATCCAGTTGGGTCCTGTGGGGCTTGATTGGATAATCCTTTGGTCAAATCCAGTAAGTATTACTATTCTGCTCCAAGAAAGCAACTGATTGTTAGCTACGTCCACTAGTATCTTCTCTTTTTATTTGATATAATTGAAAGATAACTTCCTATTTCATTGCACCTGTTTCTGGGCTAATTTTAACTCATTAGAATAATACTGAATTCCTGATACTGAGACAAAACTTCCTTGAAGTTAACTTTTGAAGCTAAAGATAAAGATCTGACAATAAATGTTGACAAGCAAGAAACCTGACTGCCAGAAACCACCAGTCACAGACACTTCAAAAATAATTCAGAATATATATCTGAGCTCATATGAGCCCAGCATCTCTGCTATTCCTTAGGTGTGGCTGGAAATCTATTGATAAACTACAGGATTAGTTATTTACCAATCACAAATACACACCACTTGAACACCATTGGCATTGACAAAATCACCATCAATCAACTGCGAAAGGCAGCTTTACTTGGAATAGCTTACATCCTGCAACAGTACCTTTAACAACATTTAACAACATCTGCCTCGTCCAGGTCCTTGGGAAACACTTGATAGGTAGACAAAAATGTCAAGTCCAATCTAAACTGACTGAATGCTGAATAATTATAGTGAGATGGGATACTTTAAGAAATAGCTTAAATGAGATCTGAATCATATGTTCTAATTGTCCAAAGTACAGCCTGACTTACTACTCACAAAAATAAAAGGATATGAAACGTACTTCTTCCCTATGAAAGATCTTCGAAAGAGGTGCTTCATATGCACTTCATCTCCCTTCTAAAGTTCTCCAGCCCTGGTATTATAACCAATTAATTGCTCTCTAAAACATTTGAATCAACAGATTCATCATTTACCACATTGTTCCATTAGATGGCAGCGAAACTTCATTCTGCAACTGATGGTATTACCTGTTACACAAACCAGCCTAGAAGATTTAAAGGAAGTTCCCCACGCCCAGGATTCTTGTTTGGTAAACATCTTAAGAAGAGAAAGAGAACCTTACTGCAGTTAGAACAAGGCATAGGCTTAGTCTTTAATTCAGATGACTCATAATGTAGGCGCTTTTAGAAGAAAGGTTACACGGATCACCATGCAAAATTGTTGGAAGATATAATTCGCTCTTCTCCTAGAAAAAGGAAAAGAAACTCAAAAAATATTAAAAGAGCAGGAAAATTCTTCTAAAAGAAAATAAGCAGAAATTTAGGCAGAGTTTCAGCCCCAACCTTTGTTAATAGGCCATTAAGAAGCTGAAGCCACCCTATTTTCCACAACAAAGGAAGGACAAAATTACAGGGGCCTGCAACATCCAAACAGGTATGGGACACAGAAGAAAGCAAACACCCAAAAAGGAAAAGAAATCATGCCAAAGTAATTAGAATTTTAAACACATGAGAAAAGGAGATATTCACTAAACACAGTCATAACAAACTGATTAATTATAGGGAACGAACAACTACAAAGGGCTAGGAAAAACAGAGATTGGACTATAAAACAATTACTTATTTGCCAGATCCAGGACGGAAGAACCCAATCACAAAAAAGCAGGATTTAAACACCATAAAACAATCACACACACAAATCAAAGGATTCACATGCCAAATCAAAAGAATTTCAAAAGACTTTAAAGGGTCACATAGAAAAATCAAAATACCTTTTAGGATATAAAAAAGGGTTTTTCTTACAGCTCAAACGAGCTAGCCTCAGAATCCTGTGCTTGTATTTGTTTCTTGCCTGCCTTCCTATAAACAATAAACTAATTCTGCTCTCAAGCAGCTGACCTCCAATCATTTGGAAGTAATCTCCCAGCAGGGACTTTTGAATTCAAGAAGGGAAAGCTGTGCCTTCCAACAATCCTTAAAGGGAAAGGCTTCTTTTTCCTTCCAACAAAATATAAAACAGTAAAATATTTGCACGTGAAATCAAAATGTATTATTTCGGACGGTTCTCCCCCCCCCCTTCCCTCCATAACACGTCATCACTAAGGAAAGGTATTCGGGCCCATTTCTTTCATTTGGGCTTTCAAAGGGAGTTATGGTTTGTTTTGACACCAATGTTATGTTGATACAAACTGATCGTTCTGCTGGGTTTTAGTCAAAGGCGGCGGCGGGGGCGGTAATAAGAAAAGCGGTGTGTGTAGGGAGGACCCCAAACTCCCACCAGTTTCGATGGAAACCGAGACGGTCTCCCAGGAAACCTACTGGGAAATAAACCTCATTAAACACAAGTGAGATTTCTTCCGAGTGTTTTTTTTTTTTTTAACTGATAAAAAGAGTCCGGCAATCGGGGAGAGGCCACCCAGAGTAGATCAACGGCAGGGAGATAGCAACGCAGGGCAATTACGTAAACTTTCATTCAAGGAGCTTCTTGGGGTTTTGCTTCTGTTTACCGAGTTTCGGCCGCCAACTCGCAGCGCCACTGCCGGAAGAAGTCCTGGGGCTCCTGGCTGTGACGGGTGTCATATGACCCAAGGAAAGATGGCCGAAGACGGGCAGAGCGGCGAGGAACTTGCGGCTGGATCGAGAGAAGATTTTGAAGTCGTTGATCGCGCCCAGATCCCCAGCGCCTCTGAGCTGAAAAGCGATGGCAAAGAGAAGGGGGGCCCAGATGCCAGCTGGTCTGCTCCCATCTTCTCCCTGGCCAAGAAAGCCTCGGAAAACTTAGCAGTCAGCTACGGAAACGCTCTGAAGTCTGCAGCCTCGGTAGGGCTCATTCCCAAACCACTCAGCAATGACAGCCCAGCAAAACAAAGTATGGCTATGTTTATTGCTTGTCTTTGGTAATGGTGGTGTGGGGTGTAAATCGAGTAAGTGGCTTTTCTCACCGTAGAGGAGGGGCTGGGGTAAAGAAAACTTTCAGGGCGAGTTGACTTTCAGGGTCCGACTAAGAATGTATTCTAGAGAAATGCAGTTTCTAGAAGAAATGCCCAGGTCTTGGCTCTGGGAATCATTTTTCCTTGGATCTGGAGCTTTTCCTTGTATTCTATCTTCATTTTGTTAAGTTTTCTGCACATGCCTGGAAATGATCTTCACATGTTGAAGGTCGAATCTATAAAAATAGATTCAGTGGCAAATTCTAGAAAACATTTCTAGTTATTTCTAGATATTTCTAATACAGCTTATTGTGAATTGATCCTTGAATGCTGGACAAAAAGGTAGGGATTCTCTGTTTTATACTCATCTTTTTTTCCCCCCTGGATAACATGACTTGGGCTTGTTTTCTTTATATGACAGTACAATTCTATAGTACAGTTCTACTTGAATTAAAATACCAAAAGAAAACACTTCTGTGTATAAATTGGCAATTTATATTTATTTGCTAAATGTTGAAGCCTATCAAATTATAAATAACGCTGGGAAATATATATTGTAAATTACATTGTGTCTAGGCTTACATATCACAGTACATTTCCAAAGAGAAATTTTTAATATACAAACTTAAATAAACTGAAAAGGAATAAAGTATGAGTTACTAATGGAAGAGACAAAACATGGTGCTTAAGAAGATATGGTTTAGCTTAGGCCCTGCACTTTAGGATATAATCATTAGATTGTGCAGTGATTCAGATTCAAAGGGATTATTTACAGCAGGGGTGTCAAACTCGCAGCGTCACATGACATATTGGGACTCTTTCCCACTTCGCTAAACCAGGCGGGGGTGGAGCTAGCACATGACGCCATCCGGCCGCCGCGAGTTTGACACCCCTGTTTTAGAGTATGTCAGCCTCCTTAAGTCAAATACAACTTTCATGGGATAAATCCCAGGGACCCTAGGAAAAGGTACAGCTTCTTTAAAAGGTGTTGGGTGCAACATGAACACCCCCACACATTTTCAAATCAAATTCTCCTTCAAATGTATATTGCTGCACAGCCCTAATCTCTCCATCTGGAAAAATAGCAGTCTGGTCAAAAGTGCTCAGTCTTAGATTTCTACTTTCATGGAGGAAGATACATTGTGTTTATTAAGACTCCCATGTAAGCATTATTTAGAGACAGTTGGGTGTAGTAGTTAAGGCAACTGGATAGAAACCAAGAGACCATGAGTTTTAGTCCTGCCCAAGGCATGAAACCATCTGGTTGAAGCCAGTCACTTTCTCTCAGCCCTAGGAAGGAGATTATGGCAAAGCAATTCTGAAAATCTTTGCCAAGAATATTGCAGGGACTTGTGGCAGTCCTAAGAATCTGATGTGTTTGATTGGAAGAAAAAAAAAGGTTTATTTGCTTCACAATAAATAATGTGTTAACAATAATTAACTTCAAAAATAAATTTGATAAAACTGATTACCTACAAGAATTTTAGTATTGTCCTATCAATGCAAATTTTCTAGTGAAATGATTATATAAATATATTTCTAGTCCTAAAGGCATGAGTAGAATGAATTAATTCCATGTATAAATTATGTGGCAGAAATAAAGCATGTTAATGATGCAGAGAAATCAGTTGAATAGAATGTAAATTCATATACATATATTCATCAGAATCTGAGGATTAAAGTAGTATACAATAGAGTATGTCAGAAGTACTAGTACTTACCAAGATTTAATGGGTATTAATGATTTTAAGTGCATATGTATGAAGCATATCCTAATTCCTGGAACATTAAACTATAAAGTTGTCATCCCAATGAAAAGTAATGTACTTTTTTTATAATAAAAAAAGCACATCAAGGGTTTGAGAAAAAATGTAAATATATTAATAAATTCAACTTTATCAAGGGAATCATAATTCTTTAATTTCAATTCAAAAAATTTACTTTGAGATAAAAATATAATACAACTAAAATGTTTTATTCTTCATACTTCAGTCAGAAAAAAATATTCTTTCAATAATTTTCTTCTAAACATTGCTACTTTCTTATTTATAATTTAATCCTTTATCACGTCATCCTATTTTATAATTATGCTTTCCAATAATAGGAAATACTGAACAACAGATTATTGTATTTATACTTTAGCAAATATGCAGTTGAATGTATTGGATTACACTAATACCTTATTTTGGTATTGTTCTTATGTCTAAATTTGCAGGATATCTTGCATTAACTGATTTATGGATTTGGGGAAAATTCGTATTAACAATGGTAGCTAAATCATAGTTTATTCAGTTAAGCCAGTGTTCTGGTTTTGAATGAGACATTAAGTTATAAGCTGATTCCCTTCCCCCTAAGCTGGGTTCATATAACATACATTATTAGACTAACTAATTAGAATGTTTTGTCTTGAAGAACCAGTTTGGTATAGTGGTTTAAGATACCAAGCTAAAAAGGAGTCCAAGTCCTGCCTTATGCACAAAGTCAGCTGGGTATCCTTGGGCCAATCACTCTTTCTCAGACCTAGGAAGCATACAATAGAAAACCGCTTCCCAAAAAATCTTCCCAAGTAAACTGCAGATAGCTAGAATCAAGATTGACTAAAAGGCAAAAGAAAAAAAAATTATCAGGAAGAGTTTATTTTCACCAAATAGTATTGTATTCAAAGAACTTCACATTTATCAGAAATAGAAAAATGTTTTCAAGTAAGAGAAAACAAGATATGCAAAAAATATATACTACATCTCAAATTCATATTTTTTAAAATTGAGTAACCTCTCTGAAATAGGTTCTTGGTGGAGAATATGGTTTAAAAGACTGAGTCATTACTTTATAATCAGCCACATTTTAAGAAAATACTCAGCAAGTTTTAATACATTAAGATTGATATGCTGTGCACAATGATGCATAAACTCCAGCAATGAAAATTGCTTCTAAACAAAGCAGCAACTACACCCATACTCTAGAATAAACTATATTAAAGTGACGATTTAGCATAACATCATGCTACAAATATTTTTAGGATTAAATCTGAAGTATATATTCAAATTCCTCCTGGAAAAACGGATCATCTCCCTGCACATCCATCACGTCTGTTTTAGAGGTTTTATGTATTTTATTTAAAGTTTTAAAAGTAACACATGACCTTTTATAGATAAGCTTTTAACAGATAGGCTTTTAAAGATAAGACTTTTAACAATTTCAGAAAGCTTGCAAGCTTCTAAAATCAAATTTCTGATTTCTGCTCACCTTTCAGTTTGTCCACTGCACAATCCACATGCGTACCAATACACTTGGTGCATCATATAACTGACAGAAATGGTACTTCTCACTCATATGTTATCATTCTGGCTATACAGTCTGGCAGGAAAAATAAATCGATAGCTGTATCCCAGCCACAGATTATAGGCAAAAATCAAAACATCATTGCCACCGTAGGTTCTGTCTACGATGTCTTACAGCTATTATTGTAGTCCAAGGTGGTCACATTCGCCCATGAGTCGTGCTTGTGAAACGAATAGTGCTTGTGAAGTGCTTTAATTTAGGCTGCTCAGGGTACTTATGTTGTATTAAATCAGGTTTTTTTTAAAAAAAATTGGCAACTTTAAAACATATGGACTTCAACCCCCAGAATTCCCCAGCCAGCATGCTAACCTAGTTAGAGAGATGGTTCATTTTCAGAAAAAGGAGTGGGGGAGTATAAGCAATCCTGCAAGACACAGCGCAAATAATGGAGCGAAGTCCCACTAGTCTAGGGGAAGGAGGGGGGGGGACTCTCCTCCCAGCCTGTCTTAGGTAGAGGCCGGCGAGAGGTCCGTCAGATATGCTTTACTTTGTATTGAGCAGGAGGTGGCACAGAATGGCCCCTTCCAACTGTGATTCCGAGATCCTTAAAATTGGGGAAGCAGAACTGAACTCCATTTAGAAAATGGATTTTAAAACGTTCCGTTTTCCCAGGAAAAGGGAAGCGACTCTTAATGGGAATAGAAGCTAAAGCCCGCCGCTCATTGCACCACCCGCCCCCAGCGGTCGCGTGGGGAGAAAGCCTAAAAAGCGACAACCCCCAGAAGCAGGAACAACTAAAATGGCGCCTCCGCTTTCTTGTTTATAATGGCTCGGGTGTTTGTTGAGCCAATTTGCCTCTGTGTCCAATGAGAAGCGAGTTTGGGGAGGGGGGGTGAGAATGTGAACATTTTTCTCCCCTGTCAAAACATAAGAAGGCAAACGAGAGAGCATGGCCAATCCGGGCCCTTGGAATGGTTGATGCAGAGTTGTAATTGGCTCGCTGAAAGGGTATAAGAGAGTCGGTGTGTTTTGTCCAATGAGAGGCCTCTCTTTGAACGTGGAGGGGGTGGGGAGTGTTGCTCGGGTAAAGTAGGTGCAGGTGAGAAGCCAGTGGGGGTGGGGGAGGTGGAAGGAAATGACAGTTTTGCCTGTGGGAAGGCTGGAGTATACACGTGATCCACTCCGGGAGGTGGAGACGGGGATTCGCCGCCGGGGAAGCTTTTCAGGACTGAGTAGCCCGTTGTACGTCTGTAAGTGTGGGACCCTGGAGAAAACCCATGCACGAGGAGGCCCATGACTGCCTTCTTTGCTATGGAAAACTGCTTCTGCTCCCGATTTTCGGAGGAAATTGCAATGCTTGCTTACTCGCTGTAACGTCTGAATAAGGCCGAGAATGAATCATGGGGGTTTCTTCTGTAACTTTGACTATATTCTATAGCCACGACTGTTTTTCGTACTAACATGCTTACAAAGATTTCTTCTCTCTGGTGTTTATAAGCAACCATGATGGCCATTCCTGTAGGGAACATGAAATGGGATTAAAATGTTGCACTGCAAGCATCCTTCTGGGGAGAGTGGAACAAATGTACCTGTGCGCTTTTAAGGATTGTTGCACTAGATACCGAAACTTAATGATAGTGACATAGTTCTTATTGTTCACATTTGGGTATGCATTGCACACATGTACCTGGGTGCGTTTTACCATATTGATTTAGAGTCCATTATTGTTATGCATTTTTGCTGCATAAACAGGAACTAAAAATACTTGCAGTCTGTGGGCTTTTTTATGAATAGTACCTTATGTATGTTATTCCAGGTGCTGGGGTGCGTTTTTTTTTTTTAGCATGACAGGAAAATGCTTATTTGTGTGGATTCACATTTTCAAAATAAGCCTACAGATCTATTACAAGACTTTGCTTTCTTATACATACGTCTGCTTGTCTATATGTGTTTAGCAGCCAGATCCCACACAATGGAAGAGCGTTCCAATCTTGTGAATATGATGAAATTGAGCATTAAAATCTTAATCCAGTCAGCTTTGAGTTTGGGGAGGACTCTTGATTCTGACTTCCCTCCTCTGCAGCAGTTCTTTATTGTTTTAGAACATTGTCTCAAGCATGGACTTAAAGGTGAGTTTGCTTCAAATCTGATTTTATGTTTGTATGGTTGAAAGCATAATATTTTTCTTATTTGTTCACTTTATTTTTATTGGTTAAGAATATTTGAAGGACACCAGGCTTTTTTTATTATTTAGCTGTCCCCATTCAACCGAAATAGCCACCAGATATTTGCAGAACTTACCTAGAATGGTGTAGTTAAATTCCTATAATTGAACCATGAGAAAATGCATAGAAGCAATGGAAAAAAGAAAAAAAAAACATATTTAAACCTGACTGCATAGCTTGACCTATTTGCCTAATTCTGTGCATTAGGGAAACAAAAGTTATATTAAGGCATATATGAAAATAGACATTCCAAGTATGTTACTTGTATATTAAATTCCTTTAAAATATAGACAGTCTGATGTATCCACTCAGAATATATCACGACTTTTTTTAGTGTTTGTCTAAAAGTACAGTCCAATTAGGTTGCATCTGTAAATATCGGCATTATATGAATTGAAGTAGAATAATATGTTTTTCCTTCCATTCTACCTTTATCTAGCTAAGAAGAGTTTTATTGGGCAGAACAAATCATTTTTGGGGCCTTTAGAATTAGTGGAGAAACTTTGTCCAGAGGCATCAGATTTAGCAACAAGTGTCAGAAATCTGCCAGAATTAAAGTGAGTAGACACAGATAATATAGTTCTTTAATTGGGATTGTTTAAAAGAATGCATGCTTTTTATCTTTTTAATACTGTTAGTAGTAATAATCAGATGGTCTTTGCTGATCATCAGTTAAAAGCAAAAATTTTTTCACAAGAATTCAGAATATTATTATTTAGACTAAAACTACTAACCTGTATTTTTATTGTCTTTCAAAATCATCTGTGTAAAGTATTAATACTAATGATAGAGTGGCATAATTATTCAAACTAAAGAAAAAGTATTAAGTTAAAAATGGACAGACTTTAAATATTTTAAGGTCTTCTGACAAATTATCTTCTGTGGGAAATGGTTTATATTTTTAGCAATTATTCATATTTAACCTGGCAATATTTTGTTTCTCATTCCTTTTCTATGCTGAGCGATTTGACATTTAATCAATGATTTTCCCGTGGGGTTGTAGGACTCCAATCGGAAGAGGCAGAGCTTGGCTTTATCTTGCCGTGATGCAAAAGAAACTGGCAGACTACTTGAAAGTACTCTTGGACCACAAGTGTCTCTTGAGGTACTTTGGATTTTTCTTCAAGAAGAACATTTATTAGTGCGCAGAAAGAGAAAGAGTTAAATTAGATCTAGAAGTCAGTTTGGATCAGTCCTGCCAAGTGAAAAATAGGAACAGGCTATTCCCTCTCCCTATCACTCTTATGCAGACAGAAAAGTGTTGTTGCAACTAAAACTTCTGGCAAAAGAAGAAACTCTTCCATTTGGGCTAAATCCAGCCCAATGTTTATATTCAGAATATTAATTGGATAAGAGACATTTGGTTTAGAAAAAAAAAAAAACCTTTTGAATTATCGTCAAGTGAATCTTCCACTGTGATGACCAGTAAAATATTCCTCTCTAAATCATTATATTTTCCTTTCCTAGTGAATATTACGAGCCTGATGCCTTGATGATGGAAGAAGAAGGAGCTGTGATTGTGGGCCTTTTAGTGGGACTAAATGTCATTGATGCAAATCTCTGTTTAAAAGGCGAAGACTTGGATTCCCAGGTGAAAATGGTCTCCTGTAAACTAAGTCTCAAGTGACAACTGTAGGCCTGAACCAAGGGTAATCAGGCTGAATTCATATTGTTTTAGATGATTGTGAAAATGTAATAATTCATTTACAACTGGCTTATTTAAGTTCTGTCCCAGCATAAAACCACGAATAATAAATAGCAATAGTTTGAATCTATGCAAATTACCGTATTTTTCAAAGTATAAGATGCACCTTTTCCCCCCCAAAAGGGGGTGAAAATTTAGGTGCATCTTATATACCGAATGTAGCCCTGCCCATCCACTGGCCCCCACCCTTTGGCCTCTGCCTCGCAGTAGTTACCTCCTTGCAAGCAAACAGCAAGAAAAAACAGCTCCTTTCAGCTTCAACATAGGCTAATTAGCACAAGTTGATTGGATCAGCCTCCCAACTCTCAGCTGATTTGCTCTCAGCTGTTTTGTGCAGGGCTCTGCTGCTTGCTGCAAAGAGGTAAATTGCTGGAGCATATATTTTTTTCCTTGTGCTAATCAAGCTATGGTGAAAATGAAAATGAAAGTAAAGCAGGCTGTTTGCTGCAAAGAGGCAAAATTGCTCAGAGGCAGAGGGAGATTTCTTTTTCTTCTTTTCCTCACCAAAAAAGGTAGGTCTGTCTTATACACCGGTGCGTCTTATACACCGAAAAATACAGTAGGTGGCCACATTTTGGATCTTGTGCTCATCCTCTTCCTCCTGCAGAGTTCATTTATGCAATTTATTGACCCTTTTTCTTGCTTGATTGTAGTGAGTGTCATTGGTCATGTCATGTTTTCCTTCTTTGGAGCAGTTTTGCTTAGCTAGCTGGTGTGCTCTATGATTGTTACCAGCCTCTCTGTTTGCATGGCTCTTTGCACTGGACACTGGTGCTTTCCAAAGTACTATATCAGGAAAACAAGCATTTGAGCTCATCTTGGAACAATGACAATCAATGGACTATGTTAATGGCCTGAATCCCCTTGCATTTAATTCCCTTGAATGTGAAAATGGTATGAAAAATATATCACAGTGAATTGTATTAGAGAGACAATATAATTTAATGAAATTTATCTTTCTTGTCAGGTAGCAGTGATTGATTTTTCTCTGTACCTTAAGGATACACAGTGCATTGATAATGACAAAGGGTATGTATAGTTAAGTTTTTACTTTTCAAAATTGTGTAGCAGAAAACTATCAGAGATGAGCTAAGTCTAAACTTCCCTAATTATCTTAGAAAGAGAAAAATTGAAACCAGAATAGAAATTAAAAAAGGAAAAACCTTTAAAATGCAGTAAATTAGGCATTAATTAATGCCTTAGGCATGAAAGTCAGTTGGGCAACTTTGAGCCAGTCACTCACTCTCAGCCCAACTCACCTCACAGTATTGTTGTGAAGAAAATAAGCGGAGAAATGACTGTTAGGTATGTTCAGTGCCTTGAATTGTTTATAAAAATAATAAAGGGAGGGATAAAAATAAATTAATATACCTACTTATTATGGTGTTCAGGATTTGTACTTGTAGCATGTACAATGAATATATATCTTCTTATGCAACAACCATTCTAAATATAAACATAGCACTTGAAAGAGTTGGCTGTTTTGAAAAGACAATGAACTTTCTTTTAATGTTAGAGATGAAGGAATTACTGCTGTGCTTGACCAGAAACATTATGTAGAAGAACTTAATCGACATTTAAGGTATAGTTTGTTGGTTAATACTTTATTCCCCCCACCCTCATATGAAGACCACAATTCTTACATAAAGGATGTTGTACCTACTTAGAAAAGCTTGCTTTTTCTCTTACTATTCTGAATTTTAGTATCTCTAGATCTTATATCCTTCTTCCCCTTACCTCTAGTTAGATCCCCAAATTTTGCCTTGGATTACACCATTTTATTATTTGGGGACCCTAATTTTTTGAGGAACATATTTTTTTATTTGGGATGAAATGGTTAGAATTATTATACAGCTACTCAGTCTCTTTCATTATAGTTGCACTGTTGGAGATCTTCAGAGCAAGATAGAGTGCTTAGAGAAAACGAATTCCAAGCTCCAGGAAGAGGTTTGTGGACACTGTGACATATTTTCAATTACTTTTTAAATTAAATAGCTCAGGCATGTATCTGAAAAAACCTAGAGAATAAAGACAGGATACAAATAAAGAAAGTAACATATTGCAACTTGTAGACCGATTGTAACTTTTAGGTACAGCAACAGTAGGAAGCTACTTTTATAACAAGCTATATAGGTCCATCAGGCTTTTTAGAAAACAAATACTTTGTGTTTAAAAAGTTCAGGTCATTAAGTTATAAACCTATCTTATTAAGTGATTATTAAGAGCAGAATAAGTTCTTGTTGTCATCTGAATCAGCCTTCCATCCTTCCGAGGTAGGTAAAATGAGGACCTGGATTGTGGGGGCAATAAGCTGACTTTGTATAAAAAAGAATACCACTTGGGGGCGGGGGGGGGGAAAGCCCTACTAAGCAGGTATATACAAAAGTATGAAGGCTATTGCTTAACACATTGTAAGCCGCCCTGAGTCTCGGGAGAAGGGTGGCATATAAATCGAACCAATAAATAAATGTGCTTTATGAAAAAGCGTAATAGTAATTAGTTCCTATTTTGGAACAGGAACATAATTACTCAGTTAAATCTTGAAATGCGGTCTTGTCAGATCTTCATTTGAGGCACTACTGAGTAGCAGATTTTTATGAACAGTAGGATAATATATGAATGTTTTGTTTGGGGAAAGGCACTCTTCTCATTTTTTAATCACTCTCCCTCTACCATCTTTTGGCCAGCTATCAGCAGCAACAGATCGAATCAAAGCTCTTCAGGGAGAACAACAGGACCTGAAACAGGAAAATGAATTAATTCGTGAACGCAGTGAAAAGTATGCTGAGGTCAGATAATGAAAAGCCTACATAATCTCCTAAGACTGTACTTAATTGTTTGCTTATTGTTTGCTTATTTATTTTTATTATCTGTTTTTTCTTTCTAACATAAAAAATGCACAGAACATACATATGTAAAATCTCTTAGGGCAGAAAAAGGTACACCTATATACGTGACCTGCAACAAGATAATCCTCATTTTGAGAAAGTAGTAGTAAGTTAGACACAAGTTTGTGCTCAGTTATTCCTTTGATAAGAAGAGAAAGACGATGACAATGCTTTCAATTAATATGCTCTGCACATCTGACTGAAAAGAATGGACTCTTCACTGATTTTCCCTTCCATTAAAAGCCCCATTGGAATGTCCCGTGTTATTTGAGCAATTAGAGAGCCAAGTGCCATAGAGCAGTGGTCCCCAACCTTTTTATCGCCGCGGCCCGCTGAGCGCGCGCAGGGGTGGGGGCACGGCCCAGGAGCTTTTGCGCACGGCCCATTGCGCACGGCCCAGGAGCCTTTGCGCTGCAGCGTTCATGTCCCCCGGCCGCTGCGCGGCCCGGTGCCAGGTACTCCACGGCCCGGCACCGGTCCGCGGACCGGGGGTTGGGGACCACTGCCATAGAGGATGGAGGAAGTGAAGATAATTATTGAGCTATCTCCAGATGGATAGCTCCTTGTTTCCTTCTGTAAATTGAAGAAGGGCAAGCCTGTATCCAATGATGGCATGCTTAAAATGTTGGACTAAGACTGGAGAGACCAAAGATCACCTCTAGCCATGGTATCTCTTTGGGGCACACTAGTCACACTCTTTTAGCCCAACCTATTTCATAGATTAATTATTATAGGGACAAAGTAAAGAGCATTCTCCATGTAAATTACCTTAAGTTCTTGAAAGAAAGGCAAGATATAAATCTAACAAATAAATACATCTCATTAAAACTAATACCATTAAGTATACATTGAAAGGTTTAATTTCCAGCTACTTTCCTCATCCATAGTTCTTCTGTACATACTGAAATGCATAACAGCTCCTATAAAAATGGGCTTCCCAGTTCCCTCTTGCAGAAATCAACTTTCTTTGACATTTTCCCAAGAAAATGAATGGATGGAAATGAGTATTTTGCTTTGTTTCCCCAGCTAACTTCAACAGTTTCATAAATTAACATAAATCAGTGTCTTTGAGTCTTTAGCATTTTGTTGCTCATATTGTTCACATGTATAAAATAACTTGTTGATTGCAGTATCCATTGATAATCTCACCTCTGATTTCTCTAATAGAAACATTGAGTCTTCACTCTATTAGTAGATTATTCATCCACTTTTTAATCTAGGTAACTAAACTGGACACCAAAGTGGAACTGGAAACTTATAAACAATCACGACAAGGCCTAGATGAAATGTACAGTGATGTCTGGAAGCAATTAAAAGAGGAGAAAAGAATTCGAATGGTGAGAGCTTATAATTTAACAAATGGCAGTGGAAATGTTAAATAGTCCTTAGACTTCCCTTTTAAATTTATTTTATATAATAAATATATCTGCATATAAAATAATGATCATTTACAAATATTGATTGATGTAATGAAGCAAAAAATGGACTTGTGTAAACCTGGCTTTTTTATTAGGACTGAATGTAAGAGTAGATTTTCCAGTTGGTTGCAGGAATATATTAGTAAAGGTTCAAAAATTCTTATGCCCCTTTAGGCAGAGGTCATTATTTTTGCTTGTCTCTGGAATATATGTTGTTGTTTGAACATAACCAATTATGCCTGGGAGGTACTAGAAAGAGTTGGAGAGTATGAAAAGTCCAAATATGCATATAAATCACTTTGGATCCTAGCCAAAACAATTTGGGAGGAAATGTACTATGTAACTAGTAAATATAAAAGATCCTTTTATTTATTTAGTGTAAAATCTCCTTCCCTGATTGCCTTGAGCTATAAAAGGTAGGCCAATTCAGCAGTCCAGGAGGGCATAAAATTGAGAAGGCTGCCCTAAATAATACATTGAGCTTTCAAGATGTACATGAAGTGTTTTATGTATGCAGCTTGTATTGTAATTTTAAGGAGTTGGAAAAAGAATTGGAGCTTCAGATTGCAATGAAAACAGAGATGGAAATTGCCATGAAACTTCTAGAGAAAGATACACATGAAAAACAAGATACCTTGGTTGCTCTTCGCCAGCAGTTGGAGGAAGTTAAGGCTATCAATTTGCAGATGTTCAATAAATCTCAGGTATTCAAGAGTCTCTTTGCTATGGCCCCAAATAGTCCTAAAATTCAGGAATTAAAGTGTCTGGTCTGTTTGATCAAGTTTGATACAATATTCACTCTTATTTATGAAGCTGAAAATGTGCATATTCTTTTCTGTCTCACCTCATCTTCACTTCCATTGCTAATTTTAACTTAGAGATCCTAATTGTTATATTCCAAATAGGGAACTCTGGCTTAAGATCAATTTACTAATAAAGATATTAAGTTAGGATAACTCTGGATTTTGTGCTAGAATTCTTTTTCATGGAAATACCAAGGAATTATGACTTGTTAATATATGGTCATGTGAGAGGTAAGAGAAAGCATTCAGGCCAAGAATTCATTTCTAGTTTCATAAACTAAAGATTATGAAACCAGGATCATTGTATCTAACCTGGTCTTCAATCTCACCTGTATGATGTCTTCTGTTGGCAAACAAGGAGGTTCTTCACACATAGCTGAAAAGCAAATAATTGTTCAGTTCCCCAGTTTTTTTTAATTGTGATATTCTCATGACAGAAGCAAAAGGGAGCAAATGTGTGTTTTCCTAACTTCATTGTTTTTGTGACTGGAAAAGATGAAAATTGCAAGAATTAGATCCTTATTCTTGATTTGGGGAATGTGGGGATGCCCTATTCAACATCCATCACTCATCTAGCCAAGACATTACTAGAAGCTTTTATGCACTATTTTCTTTTCAGGTACTGTTTTAAATAGAATACTTGAAAAGGCAGCAGATGGCCAAAGGCTCTGGAATAAGGTAGCCAAACAAGCATGCAGTCCCAAAGCTCCTAGCAATCGCAAACACGTGATGTTGTGGCTTTCTGCCATTTGCTAGAAGGAAGCACAAATTCCTACTGTCGGTCTTAAAAAGCTAAATGGAGGGGCTTTTTAAAAAAAGTTTCTTAAACTTCCCCTCAAGGAATACTCCACTCATATTTATCAGGTAGCCCTGTGATATAAATTAAAGTTCCACCCACTTCAGACCTTTTGCCAAGCAAACAAAGACAAGTATGTCCTTCAGCCATCAATTAAGCACTCATTTCTGCACTACAAACATAAAGTTATTTTTATTGCTACAATCTGGGTATAAATGTAGGTGTATTGGATTAATTCCCTTTTTTTTTCTTTTGAAGTACTGCAGCTAAGGCAGTTCCTTGGTTTTTGCCATCAGGTTTATAAACTCTGCTATATTAGAATTAAGAGAACCTTTGAAGAGACAAGAATATGAAAAGAGATGTGTAAAAGGATCTTTCTGAACTGTTACAGCTCTCCAAGCTATAAGAAGTGATTAATTTAAATTGAATTTGTTTTTGCTCCAGAGTGCAGAGAGTTCTTTACAACAGAAAAAAGAAGCAATATCATCCTTTGAAGGCAAAACAGATCAAATGATGTCTTCTGTGAAACAATTGGAGGACAGGTGATTTCTTCCACATATCTGGTCAAGGTGTGACCTTAGCAGTTTTGCAGTGTTCTGCATATCAGAATTCAGACAGGTTGTTTTCTAGTGAAGCATGAATGCCAGTTTTTCACAGTGCTTCTTGACCCTTGACCTTTGTGGATTTTTTCCACAAAGTCTTGGAGAGTCTTGTAAGGCATATTCTGACAAGAAGAAAACCTGGAAAGGCCTATTGTCCTACTTGCTTCCCTGTCAAATGGAATGGGTAATGGAGAAGTATTTTAGGCAGACTAGTCTCTATATTGTAATGATACAGAATTTCATAGATCAGAATGCACAAATGAAACTGGAGAGGCCAAAATCTTAATTTGATATGATGAAGATTGATACATGGAAGAGAAGGGAAAAGGGGTCAAAAGAGGATGAATCAGTGATCAGCACTGGGACAAGAAACTGAGACAGGGCTGAATCAGAACCATATCTTATAAACATTTATTCAATGTTATATCTGTTTTCAACCAAGGCATTTATATAGAACTGGGGGTGGGTTACTGTAATTAATCATAACATTTTATGATAGGAACTGTTGTGGTGAGTTCTTTTCTTCTGCACTCCCTAGCAGTTTCTTGAAGCTACTGTTGGCCTATTTAGAAGCTCCTGGCAGACCACCTCAGGATTTTAGTAGGGTAGAACCCAAAGGTTCATCTCAAATAAAGATTATCAGAGTCATATGTCAATTTGTTTGGTTTTTTTTCCGGGAAACTTCTTCCCATTAAGAATAACACTTTTCCATGATGAGACATGAAATGGCCTTTCCTTTAAACTTGTCCTTTTGATGTGGTACAAAAAATAACATTCACAACCAGATTGGTACAGTATATCTCTTTTTTGTACTTTAGACTGCAGCATGCAGACAAGGCCAAGAAGCTTGCAGAAGAGAAAAATGTCAAATTGAAACAAGAATTGGGGAGCAAAATTGAGGCTCTGAAGCAGCAACTACTCCAACTGGATAACAACTGGTACTGTTATTTTATATAACCTTAGCTTACCCTTATGTTCGTATTCTTTTGAATAGAAGAAACACATTCTGTTTACAATTAATGGTTCACAAAATCAATTAGACAGCAGAAGTGTTCTTCCACCCACAGGGATAAGTACTCCTGATAAGAAGGAATCTCTGCTCTAGCAGTGCCCACCTAATAGAGGCTTATGCATGTGCTACCATAGGGCAGCTTCAATAGGAGGTGTTCCAAGAGTTGGGGGGGGGGACTTCACTTCCTTAAATTGTATTCTCCAAGGATTGGGTACTTACTTTCTTAAACTGGAACCAGTAGAGTTAATACTTTTGTCACTGAAGCTACAAGTAGTCTTCAACTTACACAATTGGAACCAGAAACTGAGTCACTAAGTGAGGCAGTCATTAAATGAGACACCCACACGTTTGCTTCGCTCAGTGACTGTAATCCCGGCAGTCCAGATTGTGGTCATTAAGCAGTCTCCCAGGTTAAGCAGACAGAGCAGAAGAACTGCCTGTCAAGTTCAGGTCCCCTCCAAACGCAAAAGTGAAATCCTCTGAAGGATGGCAGGACCGGAGCTCAGATCTTAAAGGTCTGAGCTCACTTCCTGTAGCCCTTCAGAGAAGTTCTCCCCTCCTTGTGCAGTGGAACTCCTCCAAAGAGCTGCAGGAATGGAGCTCAGATCTTAGGGATCTGCTCTCCATTAGCGCAGCCCACCAGAGTTCTCTCCTCTCAGCAAGCAGCCCTTTCACTCTCAAAAGGGCTGCTTACGGGGCAGGGGGGAATCTCTGCTCCACGCAGAGCTAAGATTTCTTCCAGGCATGTGGCAGACAGCCCTTTCACTCTTAAAAAGCTACCTGCTAGGAGGGAATCTCAGTTCTGCAGCAAGCAGGCAGCATCTTACAGTCTTCCCTGCTGTATTCCCCATTGACTTTCAGGGGAAGTTGGCAGAGAAGATTGCAAATGGCAATCACATGATTGTGGAATGCTTGACAACTGACATTCAGATTACAATCATGTGACCTCAGGGTGGTGGTACAATGTTTTTTTGACAGCAGTACTTTGCAAACACCCGTTCCCTGGCTGTCGTAATTCCAAACTCTCATTAAACAAATTATCATAAATTAAAGACTACCTGTAATAGGGCAACAGGTTTGCAAATCATCACCCCAAAATTTTTCCTCTTTCCTTCACTTAGCAATCCTTTTGTTTGATAATGTGGTTCTTGTTGTTACATTGCCAAGTCTCTGTTCTGAGGTATGAGCAATGATTTTTTGGGAAATATCATTTCTAGCAATCTTATCGCTATGTTTAAACCTAAGAAATTTAGTGTTTCCTACATCTATTTGGAGATTATGGTAATGTAACCGTTAGTTTTAAAAATATTAATTTTGGGGGGGATAGTCAGTCTCACAAGTAATTTGCAGAAGATTTTTCAGATAGGTAAAACTTGTAAATCAATTCTGGTTCCTGATTCCACACCATGTATGGTGTGTATTCAAGAAGTAAGAAGAGATTTTGGATTTTGATTCAAAGTTGCATGATAAATGAAAATTCTAGAAGCAATTTTAAAAAGGGTTTTGAGGGTATGCTTTTGAACCAAAATGAAAGCCAGAATCTCTCTGGACAAGCTCTTGAACATGCTTGAAGTAGCTATCTGGATCCTACTGGCTATTTTCACAGACCCCCTCCCCCCCCAAAAAAGTTCTTTTTTTTACCTCAGGAAAAGTACAAATTCCTGCCATTTTTCAAAATTATTCCATAATGCTAATAAGGTAAATTCTTTTTGAAAATAGGTTTTGTTTCTAACTTCGTTGTGCTGCTTTCTTTTAATTTGCACAGTTCAGTTATTGAAAGAGAGTTAAAATCTGAGAAAGAACAGCGACAGAATCTGCAGCGAGAGTTACACCATGAGAAAGACACGACAGCTTTGCTGAAAGCTGAACTGCAGCAAGTAGAAGGTTTGAAAAAAGTAAGGCACGTCATGATTTAGTTTCTTTCAAGAGAGAGAGGGTAGGTTAGGTTTATGATTTCATAGTAGCTGGATTACTTTCTACCTAGAAATGATGGTCTTTGTTTGCTTACTCATAAGGGAATCACTGCCTCCCCCTTCTAGCCCCAAGCAGAGTAAAGGGATATGCAATAAAAAAAGAGAACAAGAGAGATCAAAAGGATGGGAGAACTGAAATGGGAAATCACAGTGTTTTGGAGATGGTGGGATGCTTAAGCCAGCAAGATATTTCATGAAGAGAGAAAATGTTCTGCCCTGGAGTGAAAAAAGCAGGGGGGATTTTTCTAAGAGAGGTATAGCAGGATTACGTTGAAGGTCAATAGATTACATCACTCCATTCCTTTCATTCCATCCTCTCACTTTTAATGTTTTATAGGACATTTGCTAATTACAATGTAATTTGGGGAAGGACCAATCACTCTGAGCCAGTGTTTCTGAATCTCAACTTTTAAGATGTGTGGACATTTGCTCCCAGAATTCCTCACTCAACACATTTATTGGGAAATTCTGAAAGCTGAAATATAAAAAAAGTTGCCAAGTTTAAAAAAATACTGGATGATAAATAGCTTCATGTTTTAAAAAGTTGTATTGCATTTGTGACCTTTTGTGGCTAGTACAATAGGCCTATCTACTTACAGGTTCTTTGGCCTATTTGAGTTTTCATGATAGAAACCACTAGTCTTTCATTAATGCTATAGGAGCATAGAATAGTTTCCAGTAAAATATATCGATTCATAAGTGAGAGAGATTATCTTTATTTTTAACTTCAGTAGGTTTTATAAAAGACTTCATTTAAAATAGGAAAAGTGGGGAAACTAATTAATAGAGTTGTAGTGTAGTCCATTTCATTTGTCTGTGTGTGTATGTGTGCGTGCGTGCGTAGGAATTGCGAAAACTGCAGGAAGAGAAGCAACAGCTAGAAAAGATATGTGAAGAACAAGAACAAGCCCTTCAAGAAATGGGGCTTCATCTAAGCCAGTAAGTATATTTCAATAATTTGTGTCATTAATTAATTAATTAATTGTACCACCATATCTTGCAACTGTTTGGTCAACAGTTATTAGGTACAATTAAAGTATTCACACAATAAAAAGTTAATTAAGATCACATAAACAGTTCTGGCAACATTGCCTTACTATTCCAAAGCCTTTCATGATAATTTCTGAAAGATTTTCGCCAATGGAACCGAATTGTCTCCAGGGAAAGGCCAGAGAGAAAAAGAGCCATGGCGTTTAGCCTCCTCCCTTCTGAGTAATGGATTGTTACCAGAGACCCACCTCAACAGGGTGGATCTTGCTGCAAAGTGGTACCATTTCAAGCAGCAGCTTGAGACTAAGGTCACCAGTAATCTGATAACCCTAGAATCACCAGGAGAGAGAGACCTATTGTAACAAATCAGTAAATTTAGTGAGTGATGCTCTGGCTGTAATTGAAGTATGAAATGGCCTAAATGTTGTTTTGAAGTTAATGTATTATTAATAAAGAAAATGCAGCTGCGATTGGTGATTGTTGTTGGGCTTTTGTCTGTTGGACTTGGAATTGTTCCTGGTAGATACTTCATTGTGTCAAAAAGTTAGTGTAATATAATAAAGGAAGGATCTGACTTGTGAACTCCTTATTTGAATTTTACCTATGCTGTATCAGTAGCAGCGATGTTTCTTTAGGCAAGTCAATATTTTAATGGGAAGAAACGTTGTAGTGGTTAATATCAGGCAACTAAAAATATCACTATTCTTTTTTTTTTTTCAGATCAAAACTTAAGATGGAAGATATTAAAGAAGTAAATAAAGCATTAAAGGTACTGTTGATTCAGTAATACATTTAGGTTCATTTAAAAAATGGTAACTCGTTTTATTAACATCTTTCCCTTTATCAGTGTGTGGCATAGGGAATATCATGGACAAAATAGTAAAACTAGAAAAGTATTGACATAACATCTTAATATCTTCTGTTCTTTAAATATTTATGGGTCAGTCAACCAATTTCTGGCATGTAGTTGTCTGTATATTCTTTCCCAATGTGCAACACAATCCTGTGCATGTTTATTTTGAAGCAAATTGCCCAACATTCAATTGGGCTTGTTCTAATGTATAGCTAAGGGTTGATATAAGTCTATTTGGGAAGTTAGATGTGTAATTAATTTACAAAAACTTTCAAAAGTTTGTCTAGATCTTTTTCTTTTGTTATAAGCCTATATAAATTCAATTAAGCTAATATTATTTTTAAACATTAGGGCCATGCATGGCTAAAAGATGATGAAGCAACCAACTGTAAGCAGTGTGAGAAAGAGTTCTCCATTTCAAGAAGAAAGGTAATACCAGGCTCCATGACAGGAGTTATTTTTTATCATTGCTTTTCTCCACTGATAAAATAGAATGAGTAAGAATCCTAAAGATGCCTTCCAAAAGACAACTAGGCTTTCTTGGTTTTTTTTTTTTTTTTAACGTTTTGCTTCTCATCCAAGCAGCAGTTTCTTGGATGAGAAGTGAAACATTTTCAAGGGAGAAAAAAAAGTCAAAGTTGCTTTTTGGAAAGCACATTTGGGACAACCATGACCTGGATGATTGAATCGATAGAATGGGTAAGAGGTACAAACAGATAGTTTGTTGCTACTTTCCAGGAGCTGTCTTAATCCTCTTGATGAAACCAGTTATATCTTTTGACTCTGGGTCAACCAAATAGTTCTGTCCTAATGCCTGGAGTCTTTGTGGGATTGGATGGAGAGAAGTCATCTCCAACTCATTCCTATCAAGACCAAGTAGTGGTGGGTGTTCCGATACAACTCAATCCAGCAAGGTTGTTTCACTCTCAGTTCCAGGACTATAGAAACATACTTTCTCTATAGCAGTACCTGTCCTCTGGAATAACATTCTCCTAAAATTTTGAACAGTTCCCCACCTTGAAATTTTGAAGGGACTTAAAACATATGGCTCTTTATCTAGGCCTTTAGCAAGGTCACCTCACATTCCTTTTTTGATCCTGAAATGTCCCTTTGACTTCAATTCAATCCAAGTTTCTTGTTTCACAGTCCAGAGAAATCAGCAGCACATTTCTTGTGCACTGGTCAGAGCCCAGTACTATATCCCCTTGAATTCCCCACTTAAAGCTTCAGAGAACTGGAACAGGTTCAAAAAGTGCAATGAGGATTATCAGAGGACTAAAAGCAAAGTCCTATGAAGACAAATAGATGTATTTGATGAAATTTACAAGGATGACCAATTCTACATCTATTGGTGGCAAACTATCAAAAATACACATTCAAATGACATAAAACAGAAGATAAGCATGCAGGACTTGACACCCACTCTAATCAAAGGCTTGGGAAAAAGCCAGATTCTTAGGTCTTTTGAACATATCCAGTGTGAGCAGGAAGAGACGGGATGGTGTCCCAGATGACATTGAGAGAACTAACATATTTAGAAGATTGAAAGGGATAAAAGCATTCCTGGAATATTCTAATTTAACATGTATGTGGGGACATTCTGGAGGTGGTCCATTTCCAGTTTATGTTCCCAGAACATTTTATTTGGAGGCCTACATTGAACAGAGGATGACCAAAGCAGCACTTGAAAATTTTCTAGTTCCATTGTTTTTATGGGATTACCATGCAAATTTTTCAGAGCTGGAGCTATTTTTGAAATCATTTTGGTTTATGTTAAATCTAAGTTAATATTTTAAGATATTAGTAGTACTAATTTTTTCTGTATTTGCAGCACCATTGTCGAAACTGTGGCCACATCTTTTGTAACACCTGTTCAGGCAACGAACTTGCACTTCCATCATATCCAAAGCCCGTACGAGTTTGTGATACCTGCCATACGTTACTGCTTCAGAGGTGTTCATCAAATTCTTCCTAAAATCTATATTCCAGAATGTTAAGACCAGGGAATGAACCTAACATGAAATAGTTTTTTAATATTCTAAATTCCATTAACATATATGGCACTGTATATTGTATTCAAACAGGAAAAGATTTAATTTATAAAAATGGGATACCAAAATCATGGAAACTATTTTTTATAGATTAAGTGCCAGCAAAATGTCATATTCAAAAATACACTATTTCAGATGCACACACTTGTTATTTTTAAGCTCAAAAATCTATTGTTTGAATGTTAACTTTATACTTCAGGTTTATAGATTTGCTCTAAAACAAATTGATTTTCTGAACACTTCATGGATCTATCTTCTGTAACAGTTGACTAAAATTTCTGTTGATCTGTATATAGTAAAAAAATGAAAATGTTATCTTAAATCTATGGAAGCATTTTTAAAGAATGTATGCTTGGATGTGCCTTCTAAATCTTTCAAAAGTGAACAGAATAACATACTGTAAGTTATCTGTGATTACGCAATAAAGTTGATCCATACTTGTTACATGTTCCTTAATGTATTCATCAGTAAATTTCCTTCTTGGTTGTTAAATTAACAAAGTGCTGCACACTTTTAAGGTGTATTGTCCGTGAACTTCAAAGAGGATGCTGCAGAAACTAATGGATCTCTCCTTCAAGGGTTTATAGAAATGCAGATTTTTAATGACCAAAATTGGAATGGAATTCTCTGTCAGTAAATGAAGCAGTTTTGAGTTGCGCTTGATTGCCAAAGTCAGTAAATTAATCACTCGCCAATTGAATCATTTGGTTGTTAAGCAATTTCAGCTTCCTCCATTGACGTTGCTTGTCTGGGAAGGTTGCAAATGGTGATCATGTGACAACCCCCCCCCATGCTGCAACCATTGTAAATGCACGTCTGCTGCCAAGCACCCAAATTTGGATCACATGATTGCACAGCTGCTGCAACAATGAAGTCACTTTTTCAGTACTATTATAACTTTGAATGCTTTTTTTTTTTTTTACAATTAGGCAGGAATTACATAGCTTTACAGAATAACTGCAAAGCATTAAAAGCTGCATAAATCACATATGGTAAATGTTGTCATGTCTTTGTATCTTAAGAGACTTAGAAAAGAATGACTATGAAACGAACATCCCGAAAAAGCAAGCAGTTGAGTCTTCAATTACTAATTTGGATCTGTTAGATGGAAATCACTAAAAGGGGTAAAGTTAAGTAGCATCATTATAAACATTGCCTGTATGTTGTACTAGTCCAGGGGTGTCAAACTCGTGTCGTCGCGGCATCATCACGTGACGTATGACTTTTTTCCCCTTCGCTAAAACAGGTGTAGGCATGGCCAGCATGTGACGCATCTGGCCCATGGGCCGGGAGTTTGACACCCCTGTACTAGTCTAATAGAATATGGAGAGGGATCAGTGTAAAGAAACTATTCATTTAAGTTGGAATAATTAAAGATTAATAAATAATCGTTATGTATTAAGTCCAGAATCAAGTTGGAAAAAATAAAATGGGAAATGCCATTTTGTACAACTTGAAATTGAAATAAAACAATTTGAGGATAAAAAAAATATAGGCATATTTGAAATTCAATAAGGCAAAAAGATAAATTTAAATGGCTGAAGCAATAACATGGTTCAGAGGAAAGGTTGGACGAGGAAGACAGAATTAAAAAGTGATGGTATAGAAAGAACCACAACATGAACAGGAAAGGTAAAATAAATTTCATTACTAAGAGGCAAACTGGAATTCCTTCCTCAGATACAGTATACATGTAAATATATTGGAGACTAATGGCCTTCAAGCAATTATAAGGCTTTTTCAGGTACAACCAGTTCAGGGTTTAGTATTTCGTGCAGCAGTCAAACAAATCTTTGATTTAGAAGACCTCTGTTGAATGCTCTTCAGATGCAATGGGTAAGTCTAAACTCTACCGTGTGTTAAAACCCAATGTCCAAATAATAGTATTCCTTAGCTCAATCCTGCATTTCTTATTTGGCAAAGGTTCTCAATTCACCCACCCACAACTCTTGTAAACAATTGAGTATTACAACTACCATTTGTATATTGAAGAGAAATTGATAAAACTAGAAAAATCCCATTCAGATTTACAAAACATCGCTTTTAACGGACAGCCATTCCTTTCCCCATCCCCCAACATTTAACACACTGTATTGATAATCCTTGCTTATTGACAGTAATTGGGACTAGGAATTCTTGACATCAAATGATGCAATTGTAAGGTACATTATCACACAACCATGTCAATTTATGTTTATTCTAAGAGTCCCAGTTGCCACTGTTAGGCTAATCCCAAAGTCCCAGTTTCCCATGGTCATTTGATCCCCATTGACATTGCCTGTCAGAAGCCAGCAATGAAGATCACAATAGTGATCACATGACTGTACCCTATACAACGACCATAAGTACAAGGACCTGTGTTAAGTACTCATGATTCAGCATCACTATAACTCTGAACAGTTGGTGAATGAGCAAATGTTAAATGAGTACCTGTACATGTATTTCACAACCTGTGGGGACGCCCTATGAAATATTTGTATTTCAAAATATTGTTAAAGTTCCATGTCCTTTGTGCACTATTTTTATCAGAAAACATGTAAGTTTGCATCAAGTGGAAGGAGCTATGCACCAACATTTTACACATCTCTTACTTTAAAACAGTACAGTAATCATGTATTTTGGTACTCTTAAATGTCAATTTAAAAAAATACTATGTGGGCAAAAATATTTTACAAATTATCTGCTTTCCTTAAACTATGCAAAACAATTTCATACACAAAGTATATTTCCTATTGATAATCCGTATACAATTTTTGTTTTAGTAACATTTACTTTTCTATGCAGTTTTATTTTAACTGCCATTTATGACTAACTTGGCTAAGATACTTTCTTCATGATCTGATTTCAGTGTTGTTATGCTGGTTTCGCAGATTAAAAATTCTTGCAGCAAAATGCATGTGAAAATTGTTGCCAGGAAATATAATGCTCACTTAAATCAAGAGATGTTCCCAGTTTTTAAAAGGAAGTTTTATTTGAACAAGTTTTACTTAGCGCAATACACCTAAAAATAAATCACAACACAATGAAAGATTAAACCAAGGTCTCAGATGTCATCTGAACACTAAGACCAAAATCCTAAAGGTAAGCTGTATTGCACCTCACATTTCCCTATTAACTTAAAAAGCGTAAATGTGCCTTACAAGATATTAAAAGAAAAAACTAGAACTAACATGCCAAAGGTTCACTTGAATTTCCAACACAGCTCCTATAACTTGTTTGTACAAAAAGCATGTTCCTGAACATGCATTGAAAACAGTGTTTGGTGTTATGTGGTATAAGAGCAACATTTAACATAATTGAAACAGCTTTAACCTAAATACACTTACTGCTCAAATACATTCCTACAACAAAAACTGGAAAAAGCTGAGAGTTGTTTAACAGGAACTTCTTTACTGGACTTACACCCTAGATGAATGTTTCAGCATATTCAAAAATACTGAACCTGAATGTTTTAAAATGATCCTGATTTCACTTACAAGTAAAGCATAAATCACAAGCTTGTATTGCAAAACTGTTAAACTTAGTTTTTTGTTTTCTTAAAAAAGTTGACAAAAAAAATCAGGTGACAAGTTACATTCCCCAGCCACCACTCATGTTGGACATGTTAGACATTCCAGCCATGCCATTCACCCCCATGGATGCACGATTACCACTGCTGTAGTAGCTGCTGTTCATTGCACTCTGGTTACCTAGAGCAGATAACATATTATACAATTTAGTACAAAAGTGCAGTGCTATTTCCAAGGCAACATGCTCTTCCCAAGTTTCCCCTCTTATATCACCTTGCATAATCCTGTACTATTAAAAAGACAAACTTCCTTCTATGTCATTGTATGTTTTAAGATGTCTATAAAGCCAACTGCAAACAATTTCCCAGATTTTTGCAAAACAGAATAGAATCAAATCCTGGAATAGCTTCATGCCCTCCCTCTACTGCACAAAATAATACACATGACCACATTACATACCATTAGATGCCAGAACTAGTTTCATGTGGATTGGATCCAAATCTTGATCACTCGGCATTTGCCAAACTATTTTCAGATTTAAAAAAAAATCTATGCTCAATCAGTGGCTCTCCATTGATCTTGCTCCTCTAGATTTTGATGTTCTAAAGCTAAAACCAAATACTTGGGACAAACTCAAAATATCTGCACTTGTTTGCTGAAGCATGATGACCCTCATATAAATGGCTAAATAATTCAAATGCAATTCTAAATAGCCTTCTAAAGATTAATAAAAACATCTTACCATATCCACTCATGCTGCTTTGACCACCGTAGCCTCCTCCATAACCCCCACTTAACTGCTGGTTAGCTGGACCACCATAACTGGATTGGCTTCCTTTAAAGTTAAGAATATTGTATGTTAATTACTATCACTGTATTTTATAAAGAGTATGAATTATAGTCCACCTAAACAAATTTCATTCATTTGCCCAGAGGTCTACATGAAACACAAAACTGTCTTCTTGTAGCAATTCTTTGTAAGCTGCCCAGAGTCACTGAGAGCGAACTTGGGCAGCCATATAAGCTTTGTTAATAAATACTTTCTCTTCCTTAACTGTCAGGGAAGACCTCTCTAAACACCAGCATTCAAATAATTTACTTTTGTGGCTTCTAAATTCAATATTGCCAGCTGGTCAATTTGTAAGGAAAGTGATTTTATTGTTCTTTGATTACATACTTTACCTTCATCTCAAGTGAATTGGCTAAATATTAAGTGGTGTCTGGAAATAAGATACTGACATGTGCTAGGGCTTGCATTGCTAACACACAAATTGTACTATATTTGGCACATGAAACAAGGAAAATAAAAATCAACATCTGCTTATATCACCACTAATTCCTCTACTTCTATTGCTTCTAATACTATAATCTACATCAAAATAGCAAATACACAAAATTTAGCTGATCATAGTTCTAATTAAAAGTTCACTTGTTTAATTTCTCTGCAAAACATTTTTGCAGTTGAAAATGTAGTTTCTAAATTCAGTATTGCCAGTTGGTCAATTTGTAAGGAAAGTGATTTTATTGTTCCTTATGAACTTTAGTTTTCTTAACTTTACTTGGCAAAATAAAATCATTTTGCAAAGTGCTATAAAAACAGCACACATACCCTTTACACCAGATGAAACTACTAAGAATTTCCATAAGCAAACTCAGCATTTGAAATTGCCTCTATGCAATACTGAAAAGTATATGCTGAAAATCAAATAGATCTAGGAATTTAATAGGACATTACTAAAATTAATATCTGCTGTAACTTAATAGCTGCTAATCTGTTGTAAGGAATTAGTGGTGATATAAACAGATGTCAATTTTTATTTTCCTTGTTTCATGTGCCAAATATAGTACAATTTGTGTTTTATCATAAATTCTTAATTCAACAAGGAAATAGCAACATTACTTCTCTTGTGATGAGTGGCAATATAAATTTGATAA